TTTTTATGATACTTATGGGATTGCAGAGACACCCTACAATCAGGATGAGGTTGTGACAGCGTAATATGTTGTGTTAAAAAAGTCCAATTGGGAGAGAAGTGCTTTGAAAGAACGCTGCCTGCATTCAGATTGTTCTACATGTGGTCTAAATGCATCTTCATCCTGCATTTGTCGTACAGATACTTTGCTAATACTGTGTAGTTTTAGACCTTTGAATGACACAGGCATTGATGAGGATTGAGCTTGGTAACTGTTAATGAGCTAAAATGTAGGGATGTCATTTCCTGTGGCAAATTAATGTGTGAGGTTGAAAGTACTACTTTTGTCCAGCAGTCTCTGTGTGGTCAAGGAAAAACACATATCACCTATGAAATGAGGCAACAGGTTTTGGGGGAGGGGAGGAGGCTGTTGAGCTGGAGCTCCTTTAATATCATACAAAAGCCGTGAGGGCTCTTTGGCTTACAGACTTTTCCTTTTCTTCAGCTGAATGCATTGAGCTTCAGGTCAGGCTGCAATTTTAATTGGAGGCTTGAGGGGAGGAATTTTGCTCAAGAGTAATTTTGGGGATATTTTTTCATCCATTTTATTTTAATCTTCCTTTTAAGGAAGCTAGTTTTGCCGCCTTTGTTTTTGCTTTTAAATAACCGTCATGGGATTTCTGATTTTGGTTAAGCTCCCTTTTAGTCTGCATTTGTACATTTTGGTGTATGAATAAATGTGGGACTGTCATAGCCATATGATATAGCCCAAAGTCACCTTTAATAGCCAGGTTTTTCTTAATTCAGTGGTCCATCTTTTGTCTATCTTCATTCCCAAAGGGGTGGCTCAAGGTGTCCTTTGAATACTTCAAGCTAGTGCAGGTGAGCTGGATTACAGAACTGATTTGACCTGACCAAAAACGAGTATTTGGCCAGATCAGTTTCACAGTCTTATATACCAGCTGGTTCATAGACAGTTTCTTTTATGTCTGCTTTTCTCCGGCCTCTGTTGTTTGTCAATAAGCTGCTTCCTCTCATAGTTTGAGCTGCCACAAATTACAGCCTGACTTGTTAAGGAAAACCAAAATGGGTGGCAATTTACATTCATAGGTTGTCCTGTGAATTGGGTCAGCTTAGCTACTGCTGTTGCTTCTTCAGGAGCAGTCAGTCTATCCTGGCTGCTGGAGCTGAGATGATTCAGGGAAGGCATCTGGGGACACGAGTCTGCTGCAGCCACTCTGAGGTGAGCTGTCTCAGAAGCCTGAGGATTCATCTGTGTGGAAGCTTTACCGTTTCAACTAGAAAACTCCTTTTTTTTACTCTTGCACACTCAAGTGTCTGTGTGTTGTGGTACACGTGAGTAATTTCTATCTGTCTGTCTGTCTATATTTTTATCTATATTCCCCTCATCAGTGGGATAAACATGATAATGATGATATATACTGCTATGATCAGAATGGTCTAAATAGGTGCTGTGACTGCGCTGGAACTGGAGGTATGGCTGAATTGGGGTACATTATGTACATGGAGATCAGAGCATTTTAAGCTTTTAAGTGAGTTGTGAGGGACATGTGCTGGGGGTAACTGTAGAGATACCTGTTTCCCCTTGACTGAAATGATGGCCCTGGCTGCATGTGAAGCAGCTACGGAGAGCTGCTGCAGTTTACAGGAGCATCTTTTGTGGCAAAGGGGAGAACATGCCGCTGAGGAACATGACAGCAATTTGAAATGTAGTCCCCACTTCATTCCCAAAGTGCACAGTATTCACTTTAATAAAAGAAACATTGTGTGTATTCACAATGCACACTCGTTTACTACGTTCCTAGCATGGTTGCATAGTCAGTGCTGTCTTCTTCAGGGGATCGGAGGGTCTGGGATAACGCAGGTTATGAAAAGTCTGGCGAAGCATGGGCTCTGCAAGGCTGAATAGATGCCTGTACCATACTGTTCTGGAGCTCCAGTGGTAGCAGGACTTAGCTTAGATGTAGCTTGGTGCGCTTACCCAGCTAGGGCCTATCCGGCACTGCTGTTCATCTAATATAGCATGATGAACCTGGCGTGCTGCAGAGTCCAGTGCACAGACACCTAATTTTCTTTGAAGGCTCACTCAGGTCAAAGGCTGCCATGCCAGAAATGGCTGTATTGGCATTGGGAAAGCAGTATCGTTTCTCTGACTGGCCCGAAGTAGCTGTGCAAGGGGTCGGCTGTGTTGTGTTTGTACCCCTGGCATGCCGAATTTGCAACCTGGATATATTACGCTCGGTAATGTTTACCAGCTGGGAACTGTCGTCTTCTGAGCAGACAGTTTTTCTCCTAACTGTACAGTCTCAACTTCTGATGCAGACATTGTGTGATTTGCCACATTTTGATCTGGTCCTTTCTGATTGATAAATACTGTTAATGTCTCTATTTAAGGCTGTTTAAATTGCTCATACGTGGAGTGTCAGGGAAACTGGGACATGGACGGGAGGGGAAAAAAAGCATCCAAAAATTTAATCTAATGTCATTCTATGTCTGCATGGATTCATGATTTATTTATTGACAGAAAAAATTTTCAGGGCCCTTGATTTTATTCTTTCCTGTGTACAGACTTGCAAAAGGAAGTCAGCTATGTTGCCTGCTTGGATAGGTAATTAGTTGTTTCAGAATGTGATTTAGGATATTAACTTGTAATTACTGGCTGTGCAAGAATCATACTCAGTTGTAAATGCTTATGACAATCAGGTGCTGCTCAACATTGAAAGAGAAAGGTAATCCCATTATGCAGAGGTAATGCTTTTGAGAGATGCTCTCACGAAGGACTTTTTCTGTACCCTCTGGAACTGTGGTTTGATTTATGTTAATAAGTATGTTAATAAGTTAATAAAGTACGTTAATAAGTTAATAAGTACGTTCAAATTTTGGGGATATATATTTGTGTATATACACCACTCTATGTATATACACTTAGGAGCTTTGCAAAGAGTTGCTATCCCTTCTGTTCCTAAAGCTAACCAGCATGTATTGTGATTTAATTTGTGTGCATCCCTGCTTTATTTTTCAGATACATGTATTGGACTGACTGGGGTGAAACACCCAGAATAGAACGGGCAGGAATGGACAGCAGCACGCGAAAAATAATTGTCGATTCAGATATTTATTGGCCAAATGGACTCACGATAGATCTTGATGAGCAGAAACTTTACTGGGCTGATGCAAAACTGAGTTTTATTCATAGGGCAAATCTGGATGGTTCCTTTAGGTAAGTTTCCTTTAGTCAGTAATATGGTGTAAGTTATTTCTCACCTCCTGCATTCATTTTGAACTGAGGCCTTTTTTTTTCAGTAATCTAGAATAATGCCCACACCTTATTGTTCTTTTTAAATGCAATTGTTAATAGCCTTGCAAAAAGTAAAATAGGCTTATAAAACTCATCCTATAAAACTTGTATCAGCTATAAACTGTTTATAGCCTTCTTGTATAGCAGGATTTTTCATATTTTAGGCTCATATTTGTCTTGAAAATAGTTGGAGGTGCTTATCCGTGGCTCTAGGCAACCTGGCATTTAACGAGTGACTGGGATTTTACAGTATTGTTACTGTATTTTTTTTTTTGCAACAGGAGACATACATTGACACACTTGTGCTTGGCCCTATCCAAAGATGTCCTTTGTGGCATGCCTATAAATTAACCAAATTCAGCTTATTTCAGACTGCAGTCTGAGCAGGAAGCAGATTTTCTTAAAGCTCAATAGAAAGCACAGTATGAAAGTTTTGGTTGGTGGCTTCTGTCCAGGTGTGCTGTTGAGTTTTGGCTTTTGTAGACACAGAGAGGTGACTATTCAGACAGGTCAGACCTAGATGTTTGAGATTGCACCTTCAATTCTGTGCAGTGTTCAATGGGCAGGCTGTGTTGGTCCTGAAGGGTGAGTGTCATCTGCCAGTGAAACCTCCTGCTGAGGAGGCAAGTCTCTGCATTCTGGCTTTGATCTTCAGATAGTTTAAAATGACATTTTCATTTTCATGATTTCATAACATTTTAAATGTCTGTGTTAGGAAATAATTTTACTTTGGTAGAAAGTTGGAGGAGTTTTATTTTACTCGTATCTGTGTAATATGCCTCCCCCCAATAAACTGCTGTATTTTCCATGGTGTTTTTCAATTTTTTACCGAGGTTCATTCTGTGCCTGATTTTCACAGTCATAAAAGAGGAATAACAATATTGACGTCCTTTATAAAACACTCTTAAGTTCCTTTGAGAGCACTGTGTGAGAGCTAGATAATGGTGGCATTGTAGTAAGTGACAAGTAACTGACTGACAGTCTGAAGTATAGGCAAGGGAAAAGGCCTTTATGGAAGGGAGTGGCAGCTGAAAGGTTGGGTAGAGGTTCAGAGACAGAAAATGCTCTTTCAAAATTCAAAATCTAAGAGGCGTTTTCATACAATACAACATGAATATATTTCTTTGGTTTGGGGGTGAGTTGCAGAGGGTCAGGTTTCCAGGCTGATTCTGCAGTTATCATGCACATACAAATTGTATAAACTTCACTTGCATGTATGTGTAAAAAAGTTGTAATAGGTAAGAAAAATATATTTTGCTCACTTTAAGGTAGAGAAAGGCCACCTGAAAGGGAGTAAGCCTTTGAATACACTAGTTCCAGCAATCCGTCCAAATTACTTTGTGATAGATTAGTGCATGTCCACCACCTCCCAAGCAGTTCTCTGTTGAACCATAATGAAACAGTATTTTAGGAAAAATTAATGTATTTCGCATTTTAAAAAAATTAGCTTAGTGGTGTACACTGTATATACACTGTATACTGTGTATACAACTGCAGGACCGAGTAAATGCACAGTTGATGTGAGGGTATTCCTATGCAGGATGCATTCTGGAAATTCCTAACTGCATGTGGACTTTCAGGCATTGTCCAGTATAATAGCTTGATTGTTATTTAGTTGTGTATATTTTACATTGTTACCATATGATAAAACTTCTGTCTTAAAATGTTAAACATATTAATAAAATACTATGAATATTGCTCTTAATTTTAACTCTTTTAAAATTATTTTTTTATTTATTCTTTTTTCCCTTCCACTGTTGAAACAGAAGTCTGTGAAGCTGGAACTCTTAGGGTCTGGTGTCAAGGTAGACTTCAATAATGGTTCAAACTAGATGATAACTTCAGAGGTTGCTTCTGTTCCGTAAACACAGAGCAAAATAAGTTTTGCCCAGACTTGTCAATAAAGAAATCTTACAGTGTTTCAAATACTTCTATCCCTCCCCTCCCAGAATCACTGCAGAATTCAAATAAAAAGGAAATTTGCATTCTGCATGGTAGATTAATGTTACTGGACCAATCTGCCTGTTAAATCTTAGCAAGCTTCAGTTTGCAAGCACATCGGCTGGAACTGTTTCAAGGGATGTAATTACAGGAGAAGGGGAGACTTGGTATCTAAGAATGATGGAAATAGGGGCAGTATGTAGCGGAAAACAGCTGCTACAATACTAGAATGCAGCCACTGCTGTTACTAATAAAGAAGCAATAGCAAAGGTGAGAGTGGATAGAGAAAGTGAAATCAGTATTTCTATGTATTCAGTTGTCTCATGGTGAGAGAAGGAGTGATAATTTGAAGGACAGAAATTTTAGAGCAGTTTCAGTTTTATCTCTAGAACAGGTAACTTTCCTGCTACAAGAAGGGACTGAGTGCAATAGAGGTCTTGGTCAAAGATGTTATATATTGCATAGGGGGACAAAAAAAGTAATGCTTTAATTGGAGTAGCACTCTTTGGACCTGTGTTTCCTCCAAAAGGCAATTGTGTTTCAGTATTTGCACAGACCTCTTAAGGAACTTCACTGTGGCCTTTCAGAAGTCAGTGTGGAGCTGAATGAGATAACATGTCTCTATGAAACCCATTATTGCTATGAAGGGGCAAAGTCTTATTTGAATTTTATCACCAGGTCAATCTTTTGGTCCAGTGAATTTGTTAAAAAAAGACAATTCCTGTATGACTTTTTACAAAGCCAGCTCTTTTCCTGTATGGTAACAAGTGGAAGCAATGCATTTTTAATCATTGCACTTTCTTTCATCTAGGCAAAAAGTTGTTGAAGGTAGTCTTACTCATCCCTTTGCACTGACGTTGTCTGGGGACACTTTATATTGGACGGACTGGCAAACGCGCTCCATTCATGCCTGTAACAAAAGGACAGGAGAGAAAAGGAGAGAAATATTGTCTGCCCTGTATTCACCGATGGACATCCAGGTCTTAAGTCCAGATCGGCAGCCATACTGTATGTTTTACTTTTCCCTGAAACTTTTTGCATGACTGTTACTTATTGATCAGGAAAAACATGAATCATAAAAACGGTTAGTGTGAAGTTGTAAGGTTTTGAACACTTGTCAGGGGATTGCTAGAGGTATAAGTACCTGAATCCTGTACCTTTAAAAATTCCAGCCTGAATTGATATGAGCTCGCTCATCATCCCAGTTGGTAACAAAATCCAAAATCCAGTGCAGTACTTTGGTGACATCTTTTCATTTGGAATAGCTAAATGAGAATGATAAAGACTCACGTGGCATCTTTTTAACACCGTTATTTTAAAGACAACTGAAAGAAATGCTTATCATTACTTTTTTTTTTAATAAGTAGAATTACCACCAAATATGTGATGTTTGTGTTGTACTTACAAGTGCAGTTTGTTGCAGTCCAGATTTGATCATGTTTATCTTCAATATATAACAAATAGTTTATGAATGTTTCAGTATGGAATGGATTTAGTTTTCAGCTTTTATATGAGATATATACATGCTTCTACTTGTTCCTTATGTGTGATGCAACTTCAAAGGAAGGTGGGTGTAGAGAATTGAGAATTGAATGAGGCTGTGTATATTTTGTATATGCATATGATTCCATGTGGCAGTTGGTCTAGGTTTTGTTAGGATTGTGAGAATGGGACTTAAAAGCAATGGTGTGGAAATGTATATAATTGATATAATAATATATATAATTCCCATATAGCTGTGAGAAGAATCATCTCTTGCCAAGGGGTGATACCCTTACCATTTGGATTGGCTTCTTTATTTATGCAACTGTAAAGTCTGCTTCCCTAAAGATAACATTTATTATTCCAGTAAAGTTTATAGGATGTCAGGCTTGAAAGTAGGCAAAAGGAATTTGAAGATCATCTTGATGACGGAACATAGGCAAGTTTTCCTTGAGGTTGTCGGGTATGCACAGCACCCTAGTTTATCTCACAGCTCCAGATAAGAGTTTGTCTTTGCTGAATTCTTGTCATTGCTTTTAGCTCTGGGGATGTCCCAGCCCTGGGTTATAGTATTTCTGGGTCGATCACAAAAAAAATACGGTGCATAGGGAAATAGTGTATGCTGAAAATAGCTCAGATGCCATTGACTTCATTAAGATCAGGCTTGGATTCCTTCCTCTTCCTTTTTTCATCTTTGTGACTGTCAGTGGTAGTAACACAAGCCAAATTAGCTGTAAATGTTGTGGTTTTGTATTAGAGCAGTTCAGATACTTATTCAAATTATGATTGATTTTGGAGACATCTTGCACAACTTGCAATATTTTTCTTTTTTTGCAATAGCTGGCAATATTCTCCATAATTATTTATGGTTACAGTTTCATCTCTTGCTGCCATTTTTTTCCCATGTAAATGAGATAGATGAGTGCAGTTATTGTGTGTCTGCCCCTGTCCTGTCCTGTTCCCTGCCCCCAGCTGTTTTTTTTAATGTTTTCAAGATTGCTGACTTTACATGTTGCCCTCTTTACATGTTGGTGATTCGGGGATATGTCTTGCTGTGAAAGTTTTGCAGTAGGAACGTACAACATTATTATTGTTGTTATTATTATAGTTGTTATTATTGTTATTATTATATTATATATGATTATAAAGTGTCACCTCACTAAATAGCATCCAGGATGCTGCTTAAGTCTGAGATGTTCTTCACTCATTCAGTTTGTTCTGTGACTTTACATTTGTAGGACAGTGGTGCTTTATGTACTGATTTTAATTTTTCTGTTTTTAAGAGTGTCTTCTTATGGGTGTTTAAAGTCTGAGCGCCTGATTTCCTTTTGATAGTCTTTGAGTATGGGAAGTGCAAAACACAGTGTTAAAGGGCCGTGGTAGTCAGTTCTCACCATTGACTGACCATGTAGGGAACTCTGGATCTCTAAATTTGATCTTCTGATGTGCTCTGTTAGATGCTGGTGACAGGCAATGTGATTATCTTGCTCAGCACAAGAGCTTCTAGCAGGCAGTTGTCGCAGTGCTTAAGGTTGTAGTGACTTTTTAAAGTTACTGGACTTTTCTACAGCTGTGGTGGGAATTAGTGTGTAATTCATAATCCTCTATACAAAGTGTTGGGTTTCGGGGGTTTTTTTTACAGCAACACTACTGTAATGTAGGAATTGTACATATTGTTATGTTTTCCCTTCTTTGACAGAACTGGTCACCCCCCACCATCACCACCATCCAAGCCCTGTTTTCTGTTTTCATGATGCTTAACAGACCCCAAGCAGACCCTACACCTGACAAAGCAACTAATGTCCAAAGCTCTTAGCTGTGTTCATCTTTAGAAATATTGAAAGAGCTGCACAGTGAGAATGTGCTGAGCTGTCAGCTCTTTCAAAATCAGCTTTTGCATGCATCTCAGTTTAGGTGCCCCTAGAAGTAAGATGCTGGGGAGGGGGGGATCAAACACTTTGTTTTGTGGTGCCTCTGTTTTCTAGCTCTAAAGCTTGTGCCAGTCATTTGGGATCTATAATTTCTTCCTCAGGGAGAAAAGAGGGCTTTAGGTGTTCTAGAAAAATGAAAATAAATCTATTTGGTTTCTTGAAGTTCATACTCCATGTGAAGACAACAACGGTGGTTGCTCCCATCTGTGCCTGCTGTCTCCAAGAGACCCCTTCTACAGCTGTGCCTGTCCCACCGGTGTGCAGCTAGAAGACGATGGCAGGACATGCAAATCAGGTAGGAGCTTGGCTTTTCTACGGTGACAGTCTTGACTTGCTTTGGGTTTGCTGCTTAAAAGTTGAGCCTTGAAGAAGTGAGTTGAGAGAAACTGCCTGACACACTGAAATGTCACTCTTGTCCTGATGAAGATGGCAGAAATGTTGTACACAAATCTCGTGCCCAGTTTCCAAATATGATGATTTTTATGAACAAGAGTAATCCCTTGCATCAGAAATCAGTGAATTTTGACTGTATTTTGTGTTGCCAGTTCTCTGTAGGAATGGAGTAGTATGTGGAGCCCAGTGCAGAAAAATTTTATTAAAGTAAGCTATTGTAGGAAATCTTTCCATTTGGACAGTAGACCAGGGACAGACTTCTGCTCCCTCCCACTCATTGTCCAGTAGTGGTCAATGATGCAGTAGTGGTGGCCGAGTTGTTACTTTCCTGTTGCATCTCAAAGTTAGCAGTATGCTTGAGACGTGTTCTGCAGACAGATGTGCTGAAAATTTGTTCAAGGTCACGTCCACATGCCCAGTACTATTTTAGAGATAACCCAGTGAGTTGCCCCTAATTCAGTTAGTTTTATAACGAAATAATATGTACAGAAAAATTCAAAATTAACATTTAAACTACACATACTTTTTTTTCTGTTTCTGAAGATTAATCATCCCTCTGTTTCCTTTTGAGCTGCTCTATGGGAAGGTTTGATGATAAAATTGCACTGGGATTTTTTTCTTCCTGGGTCTAGTTTGTGGTTTTTGGACATTGTAAAAAGTGAGGCAAGGCTTTGTGTGAAGAGGCTTATAAAGTTTACTGCTTGAGACAATTGAGCTAGAGAAAATAATGTTCTAGGTGGCTGTTCCATGTCACTGAGAAGTAGGAGAGGCTTATGTATTACCAGTAGAAAGCTGTTTACAGAATAATATCTAGAGTATATTCTTTAATGGAGAAGTACAGATGCATATTTCGTATCCATAAATTGAATGAGTCTAGTGGAATACTTTGAAAGCTGGGTTTTATCATTGATCAGGAAGCCTCTTTTAAAAATGCATCTTACAAAATCAGGCAATTAACACTGATATGGTGGTAAGACGCTAGGAGGCAAGGATTTGGAGAATGTTCTGCCAACAGACTAAGACACTCTGCTGCTTGTCTCTAATGCATTTTCAACGAGTCTAGTCAAAGCGTATAGTCATTTTCTGATGTGGTTTGATTCCTCTGAGTACTAAAGCAAGCATAATAGATTCCTTTCATTTGTGAACTTGAAGCAGAATTTGAACACTGAACCTCCAGGGTTTAAGGGCCAGCTTTATTAGCTCATCCTGCTGCAATTGAAAGGCTTATAAGGTAGTTCTTGCAGCTGCTGAAAGACCTTTCCCTTTCCTCCTTCCAGCTTTGGAAAGTTTCCCTTTCGCAGCTTCTAAAAAAACATTGCTGAATGCCCAGGACAACCTTTTTAGACGTTCATATTGACCTCATGTTTCTGGCAGTGGGAATGAAGGTCAGCCTGCTTTTGGCGTTTTGGCAGATAGCACAAGCAGGAGTGACTGCTTATACTGTGCTTTCACCTTTCCATTGTCAGACCAGACAGTCTGTCAAGGGTGTTTTGTCAAAGGAGGGCAAAAAAGTGGGATGGGAACAGGAAATTGGGTTTTGCATAATAATGTGGTCTTTTGGTTCAGCTTTATGGATTATTTCTTTCCCAAGCTCCACATCTTTTGTTGTCCTGTCTGCCTTCTGCCCACATCCATGTGCTTCTCTTTCCCCTCTTATTAATTAACTCCTTGGTTGCAATGAACTGACTTTTTGTTCTCTGCAGGATTTCTTTGTAGTAAAGTTGTATTGGGAACTATGGCTGCAACAGTGTTGACCGCCTCTCCGTTTTTGTTCCCTATTGGCTTGGGCAAAAGTGCAACAGTATGAAGTCACTTCAACATATCAGCTGCTTTGATGTTAGGCTTTTAAGTGAATTACACAAACGCTACTGGCAATTTGTGTTCAAGAAGAAAAAGCATTCTTTTCTCAAAAATCTGTGTCCATGTGGGGAGTTTATTGGTGTAAATATAACTATATAATGTATTGTGTATCTCTGTCAGAAAGTGTTCTTATGTAGAAAAGCCCTGAGGCTCTTAGGTGATTTCAGCTCTCTTGGAGATTGAAAAATACATATATTGGTAATTTTCAGGTATGAGAGCTCTGTAGCTCTTTATAGAGAGTGTGGAATAGTAATGGGCCTAGGTAATTAAGAAAATATGAATTCAAGAACAGGCTGTGCCACTGTTTGCTTTGCTATGGGTTATGTCTATATGCACTGAAACTCTGAAGTTCTGGATTTTCACACTTTTTCTACACATATACTGTTCATATGCTGAAGCCATAAGTATTGTGTCTGTGTTAAAAGAATAGTTCTTTATTCTGTAGTTTTGACTTTTGGCATTGATTCATTCTTGTTTTCTCTCTGGTTCTAAAATATTGCTCTGAATAAATAAATAAGAAATCTCTATAGTAGGTATCCATAACTAATAATGGATATTAAATATATGGATAGATTGCAACTGGCATCAAGTATAAGTTATTTTCTGGGAATGTGGACTTGTTTTGTGCAGGTAAATGTTGTTGCTTACCTCCAGATGTTGTGATATTAAGTCTATTTTCCTCTGTTGGCTGTGAAAATGCTCTGGACTTGCTTGAAGTTCCCATATCAACAAGCAGAGGGTCGTAAGTATGGAAAGTAAGTCAGCTGCACCTGACCATGTACTCTTAGCAAAGTGAACACTCCAGCTATGATCTTTGGAATTAAGAAGTTGAGTTGGACCACTACTGTCTTGGTGGATGTGTCCAAATACAAGATTTTAGGTAGGTATCTGAACCCAATCTTGCCTGTGTAGAAGATATGAAGTCACAGTTTGTAACGCCCATCAGAGCCTGATGGCTCTAGTCTGAAGTGCCTGTGGAAGGTGGCCTAGTCAGTAGTAACTCTTAGTACCTCGTAACTTCCAGGAATGACTGAAATCTGAAATGTCATGTTTCAAAACAGCTTCAGTTCTTAGACCAGGTGGCTTTCTTGATTTGTGGGGATTTTTTTTGGTGTTTTTTAATTTGTTTTTTTTTTGGTTTGAAAGTCTCCTCTAAGCCTGCTTGAGCAATGGTATGAATGTTTGAGAAAAGAACAAAGGTTTGGTTGCAGTCATTTAAAAGGGATGTGTAATTCTACCTAATTAGCTCTTTATTCATGCAGTCATAAAATTGTAAGCCTGCTTTAGTTAATCTTCAGTTTCTTGCTACAAATGCTTTCTGATGCAAAGTCTTAAGACCAAAGTAAAAATTATGTGTGTTCTATGCATATTTTCAGGGAAGCGAAGTTTGGTTTCATCAACAATGTACAAGCAAATAGGCTAGTTTAGAAAGCAGAGCAAAAGTGTGGAAAATTTAAAAGCTTGGGGACCTTTTTTCAGTCATTTTGCTGACTTAGGGCTATCCTGAGGTATTTCTTTCTTTGTTTAAGGATCAGATTTATCTTCTTTATGAATAGAATTATTTTGATTCATGACTCTCTTGTTTGTCTGTGAGGGCTCCTTTCAGGAAGCTGTTCCTTCTCCTTCTGTCCTGAGGTCCCCCTCCTAAGATTTAGTGAGTTCTGTTGTTGGGTTAGTAGTAATTTGAACTGCTGTGAGAAAGACAAATGTATTAATAGCTAGGGTCATGTCTCAAACAGCAAACCATTGGAACATTTCTTACCTTGCAGAGCAGTCTTCAGGTTGCATGTCATCTCCTTTGAGCAGCTTCACCTTCCTCATGCTTCTCATTCTTGCTTTCCTGACAGCGCACAGTGAATGACTTGAATTTATCTGTTTCTGACTACAGCTCTGGTGCACCTTTTGTATAATTTGCACCACTTAATGTGAAAATTTGCAGGCAAAATGGAGTCAGGATCTTTCCATCCTGTTCTGCTTTCATGGAGCAGGTTTGCTTTGCTGTTAGGCAAAGGTGCAGTGTCAAAATGTTGGATGACTCCCCCTGCTTTTTCCTTCCCTCTTTGACTTGACCATGTCATTCACTTTAATAACATTCAAGCAAGTCTACAGGTTTGTTTTATATCTTGTCAGCTAAATGTGATTAAACCCTGATTCTGGTCTCTTGTACAACAGCTATCTGTATTCACCCTTCCAAGATGGAGCTGGCTTCTATAAACAGCGTTCAGCAAATTGTTTCTCTTATGTTTCTGGAAAACATATAAAGTCTTTCTGCTGTATTTGGTGTTGCTGACATACAGCTATTGCTGCAGGCCTTCTAAAAGAATGTCAAAAGCCTTATCTTTTTTCATAGAAGTGGATATACTTCCCTGTAAGTGGTCACTCTGACTTCCTAGATATCCTCTGCCTATTAGTGTTGCATTCCCAAAGGATCTTATTCTCATTGCACATCATTTTCTGATATCATGGTACAAAGTAAGTCAATTGTATATGAAATAAAATTAATTTGACAGAATTTTAAAACCTGTCATCCATGGCTGATACCACAAAACATTTTGACTGGAACTCAAATACTTCCCACCTCGCCCTTCCAGGTTTTTACTAGCTTGGCTCTGTGGCTATGGAGCTGTAATAAGTAGAATAAACTAGGACTTCAGCTAATGTTCTTTTTATTGTATATTTTTTGACTTCAGCAAGGACACTCAGAGCTACACAATGTCAGAATTAGTCCAGATCCATGCAGCTTCTGGCAGCTGCATACCCCAAGGTTTAAAAAAAATGTTTTCCAGTTTTGTTTTTGTTTCTCATTAGACGTGTAATGCTTTGCTGCAGTATATGAATAAAATATTTCAGTAAAAGCTACAGAATTCTACTCTACTTATTATGCAACTTTTGCATAATTGCAGCAATTTCACTTGGCCTGGGCATCATAAGGTTTTGGTCCATTTTACTAAAATTGCTGTACTGGTTTTGGTTGGGATGGAGTTTATTTTCTTCATAGCAGGTCATATGATGCTATGTTGTGAATTTGTGACCAAAACAGTG